CCAGGTGAGTTTCTAGGTGTCGGGGGTCGCATTGATGCACGGGATGTGGAGCTGGTTTAGTCATACATTTGTTTCCCTAGAAGGTTTCACAAGAAAGTGCTGTTGGCGAGTATTTTGAGGTCGGGAGCCGGAGGGAGTTCTGCTTTGGGCTGGGTTCCTCGCTGTTTGGAAAACATTGAGATTACTGAGTGTTTTTCATCACCTTTTCCGAGGGATGCCAGCTCTTGTGCCCGTTGTGAGTGTGCAGGGACGAACCTAGGCAGGTGTGGGTGCTGCCACAGCACCCCAGGTGAGCCCCCGAAATGCCTTGCGACCGCCCCACTTTATAGGGGCTATTTTTCTTTATTAAAAAGGAAAGAAGGGAAAAAACAAAGTCTAAGTAAATTTGAAAAGTAAGGCATGTGTGGGGAGGCGCGGGTTTGGCTCCTTCAAGGAATCCCTATATGTGCTGCAAAGCTGGGGTGCGTGTGAGGGAGTGAAATTGGTGGCTTTTTCCCCTCTGGGGAGAGGTGGGGAGAATGAGAAACCGTGTTCAGAGGAGCTTGTTTAAAAATAAGTTAAATTTTTTTTAATAGTCTTTTTTTTTTAACATTTATTTTTATACAGGAATTGGGGTACAGGTCAGAGATGCACAGGGGGGTGAGAGGATTCACCAGAGACAGTGTGGGGAATAGAACAGGCAGACGGACCGAAGTACACTGCTGAGGGGAGCAGCGGGCGAGACAGGAGAGATCTGTCCCACCATGTGGGTTTCTCCCTGGCCGGCCGGGAATCAAACTTGTGCTGCAGTGGCTGCGGATTTCTTCATAGGTTTCATCTTAACCCCTGCGCCACCAGGGAGGCCCAAATAAGTTAAATTTTTAAATATTTTATTTTGAAAAACAGGAAATGGAAGTAAATATTCGGGGAGAGTTTAGTGGGGGTTCACTCATTTGTTTTCTGTCACGTGCTTAACTGTGCTACAGCCAGAGGGGAGAAGAACAGCAAGGGTCAGTAATGAAGCATCTAGCGCAAGCTGTGTGCCATCCCCAGCGGTGGAGGATTTCCTTGTGCTTGGAGGCCTTGGTTCCTGTATGGAGCTGAATGTTAGCTTAGAAGTGGCCTTAATTAGGTTAAGTGTGGCACTGCTATTTTTAGAAAATCTGGGAAGAACGGGTGGCTTGATAAATGCTTCCATTGGTGTTCTGACATGGAGCAGGTGAGTTGCATGTTCCTGCACCAGCTGCAGAAGGTGTAAATGTACCTGCTGCTTGCCTGATGAGAATCACCTGCAGCTCATGTGAAACGTGCAGCGTCTCATGCTCTGCCCCGACCTTTTGAATCACATTCAGGGGATTCTTCTCATCAGGCAGGTTTAGAGAAACCCTGAACACACTGCTTCATGCACTTTGCATGCTTCTAAGTAAAATGGCGATAGTGAATTTTTCTCCACCCAAGCAAGGGACAAGTATGTTGACTAGGGCTTGGAGCCTGGCCTCTAACTGGTAACAGGACTGCTTTGCGCATCTAGATTAATCTGGGATTTCTTTGCCTGTCTAAGGAAGGTACTAAAAGTTAATTTGCAACTGCTGTTCCTTACATTTTATGCATTTATTGTAAGATTGGGGAACTGAAGGCAAAAAGCATTTTGTGGAAGCCCAGTGCATTTATAAAGGATTGTTGGAAAACAGGTTATCAGTGCCTCACAATGTGAAATATACAGTTACCATGCAACCCAACAGTTCCACGCAATGATATACCATGCTCATCAACTGATGAATGGGTAAACAAAACTTCTTATGTCCGTTCAGTGGAATGTTACCTGGTAATAACAAAGGATGAAGTGCAGGTGCTTGATCCAGTATGGACAGAAGCATCACGCTCAGCGATGGGCACCTGTCCTTTGTAATTCCATGTGTAGGAACTGTGCAAACCAATAGAAAGCAGTAGTTGCCAGGATCTACGGGAAAAAACAAAAATGAAACTAATTGCTTTTGGGGTCTGGGTTTCTTTTTTGGGGAGTGATAATTTTCTGAGGGTTGCACAATGCCACGAATATCCTAAAGATCACTCAGTTGTGTGCTTATAAAGGAGGAATTGCATGGTACATGAATTTTATCTCTAAGCTATTTCTTCTCTAATTACTATCACACAAGATATTTTGGTGCTGAATACCAAAGAATTTCAGGATGAAAACATCATTTGTAGGTTGGGTGGTAGGTAGATGCTGGATTAGTGAAGGAGCAGCTTTTAGGGAAGATAAAGATTTGGAGGTGTAGCTGTTTTCCAAAAGGAAAAGCTCTGAGTCCCAGAATTCAGCAGGGAAACAGATAGGCCAAGTGGGATGTCCTTGCAAGGAATGCTGCCACTGGCTGGCAGCTGTGTGGGGCCTGGGGACAGTCGGTCTAAGGCATTACCAAATGCAAGGTGGGCCCAGGCTAAGTGGGGACCTTGATGCCAGGATAGAGAATTCCTTGCTGCATTTGGTCAATTCTAGGATGTTGATAAAAAGTGACACACCACTTGGAAAAACCCAGTGGCAGAGTTCTGTCATGGAAGGGAGTGTGCACCTGTGGAGATTCCTGTTAAAAGGCTAGTGCAATCAGTGTGAGGAGGACGGTTTTTTCTCTCAGATAACCTCAGCCTTCTGATACTTAGGTGAATGTGAAGGCCTCACAGATGTTATTCTACTTCATTTCCTGTCTTGTGTAATTCAGTGAATCACAGTTTCCCAGTAAAGAGCTGTCGGGGTGCAGAACCACTGTGTGTGAGCCCTCCTGCCCTCCACTCACTCCTTGTCTCACCCTTTAGGTTGCTCAGCTCCTGTATGTGCAGTATTCTCTTTCCTGCCTCCCTCCTCCTTTCTGCACCTAACTGGGCCCTCTCTCTCCCTCCCTACCTCCAATCATGAGACAGTTTAGCAGAGAAAATGACCAGTATTTTTTTCACACAAGATAAAAATTACTTGATCTAAGATGCATGAGGGGGAAAAAGGAACCTTTCTTGAAGCATAAGGTGGCGTGACACAGAGGTCATAGTCAGCGAACATTTTAATCAGAAAATGGGCCAAATTTGATAGCATTTATTCTAGTAAATTTAACAGAAAAGTAATTGAGGTCTGGGGAGGCTCACTCTGAGAATTCCTTCCAGTCCATAACTTCCATATTGCAGGAGGGTCTCTACATCCTCATTTGTGACTTACCCATAAAGCCTTTTCTGTCAGCTCGATGCCTGTTGCTTGGGCGTGCCAAAGGGCAAATGTAAGACCTTCATTATGCCTCAAGTACTGCACTGTGAACTGTCACCACATGGCTGAGACAGGAAGCAAGAATGTCACATTTCCCAAGTTCACATGAGGCCATGTAACTCATCCCAGCGACCTAATTTATCATTTCTTCCAAACACTCTTGATCTTGGATTACAGTGACATCTCCTAACAAGTGATAAGAACGTTTAAAAGACTGCCTTCGGCCTTTCCTGCCAGGTTAGATTTTCCAGTGGCAAGTGTGCACTGTGCAGCCAGACCGTGAGAGGCCGGTGTAAGCTGAGGATGGAGTTGTCCAGACAGAAAAGAGCCTGTTTCTTTAGAGAGCTTATCAGGATTTTGTTTCCTTGGAGGGGAGAAAAGGGAATTTCAGTAGTAGCCCAACGGGCAGGTTGGTTCTTTTGCTCTATTCAAGTAAGACTGTTAAATGTGTGCTGAGATCTGATATTGAAGACAGAAGCTGGGATAGCCAAAGGAAGAGGAGAGCGAAGGAAGGGGGATGGCAATGATCAAGGGGGGAAGAGGGAGAGAACCCGTGCCTGGCTAATGCCAGCACCTTGGCTCAGCAAAACCACTTCATCTTTTTGAGTCAACATAAAATGGGGTGGTTGGGAACATCAAATAAATTAACTCATGAGAAAAGACGTGCTGTCTGGCTTATTACAAACGTTCAGTCTGCTAGGGCTTTTAGAGATTTTACTGTAAGGTCAGTGGGGGGCCTGGTGAGGGCCCAAGGCCACGCGCAAGGAGGGGCCTTGAATCTGGAGAGAGAAATTCCACCTTTGCCTTCGCTCCTGGAGCCAGAGGCCTCCACCTCACACAAACAGGACCTGATAGCGATCAACCAAACACCACCAACAAATAAAAAACAACTTTGGTTCCTGCATACCCAGTTTCCTGCCTAACCTTTCCTCACCCTATAAAAGGACATCTCTCCCCACAAAAACGGGTGCAACTTCTCTGATCCCCACGGGGGATGGCAAACCTTACCCCTGGGCGCAAATAAAGTTCCTGCTTGTCAGAATCCTTGTATTTACCACCCATGTTTTTCATAATAATATCAGTTTAAAACTCCCCTTTTGGTGTAAGTATAGTTCTAGAAGTGCAGTTCTCTGAGGAAGTCACTGACATCCTGGTTTGTGAGCCCTGGTTATATAGCTGATCCTCTGGAAAAATGAAATCAGTTGTAATTTAGAGTTGGTGCTCAAGGGGGCGCTGTTTCCTCACAAATTTGGTGCTGTTTTCCTTTCCTCTCCATCTGTTCCAAGTCAAGCAAATAATTGGATATATGTTCAGGATGTCTCTGTCTTCTGTAGTTCCCAGGCGGTCTTACCTTGTGAGGCCCCACCCAATATCACATCCTGGAAATGCACACTGGTCCTGTATCACTGTAGCTTACATGAGAGTTGAGTCTTCAGAGACCAGTTCACCTGTTATATTTTTGGAAGACATTTATTCAAGTGATACTTTAACTTTTGCAGTTTTCTTTTTATATTTTGGGATTCCATTTGGTTTTAGCTTTCAAATATGTGACAAGCTTGTTGGTCCTGGTTCCTAATGAAATAAAAGGGCCTAATGGTGTTCTTCCCGAGGCAGGTGAAGGTCCACAGTACATGTCCCTGATGAAAGACTTCATATTATGGTTTCATAGTATGCTTCATATTATGGTTTCCCACTGCTTGTAGAAATCAGACGTGCATCTCAGAGGTGTGGTTGTTCTGTGCTTGATGTGATGTGTTTTGGTTTTTGTTTTCAGATCCGGGGATTTCTGTCACGGTTTGATAATGTCCTTCCCGTCAGCCTGGCATTTGACAAATGTACGGCTTGTTCTTCCAAAGTAAGTAGTTCTGCATTTGTTTTTGAAAATGAACCCAGGAGCCTTACCTGCCAGAGGCTTTGGGGGTGGGGAGGATTCCCTAGAAAACCAGAAAGGATCTTCTTGTTTTCATCTACCTGTATTGGTTCTCACCGAGAAATCAGCCCAGGAGAATTCGGTTTGTAGTGTGCAGACACAGACTGAATTTGGTATTGGAGTTCTGTACCCATCACAGTCATTTTGACTTGAACTTCACTGGTCTTTGTGAAGGAACCCTCTGAGGGTTCCTCCCTTGCTTCCACCATCACAGAGCAATTTTTAAGTGTTGCTCAGAGGCTGGGGGATGCCAGGCCATGCTGGCGGTATTTCTTTTGGAGAAAAGTAAACAGAGATTAGGGGCCTGGATGGGGAGCCAGTAAAAGGGCCCCTTCAGCTTTGATCTTTTCAGAGGCTCTAAAAATAGAGCTGGTATGCCGCCCATTGTAACTGGAAACGGCTGATGTATCTCAAAGCTACAGCGATGGCCTCTCATTTTTTAATAGGCTTTGCGATAGTCTGAGTTATTTTTAAATGTATATTGTGTGATACAGCTTATTTCCTTTCGGATGCTTCTAAGCTGCCTAAAGCCCAGTGATTTAACCTGGGCTTTTAAAACTCGTGATTTTGGAAGTCTTTGATGTTCACAAGTGCTGTGCAAAATCATGTTGGGGTCATTCATCCCAAACCGCTAACGCCCAGTTATTGCTTGGGCTTCTCTGCTGGGTAGTCTGCCCCCTGCAGTAGGGAAGGGACAGGCTTCTTGGGAAAGCCTCTCCACAGAGTGGACAGGCTCTCTTTAAAATCTTGACTTGGGTCGTATCTTTTAGAAGCACAATCCTGACCAGTCTCTCTAGAAAGTTAACTTAGATTTGACAGCAGGGTTGATAAAGCAAGCTAATTTTGGGTGCTCAGAAGTTAAGGTCATTTTGTTCTCCAAAAGTAAACCAAGCTCCCGTGTGTAGTTACGCATCCCTGTGTTGAGAGGTAAAACTTCCCACTTGTCACTGTGAGCTCATGCCTACTGTAGTTTCTTGGATGTATCTTGCACTTACTCAAGTCAGGGCTTGATGGGCGTCTGTATCCACTTCTGTCTTCAGAAATGCAAGTTTTAGAATCAAATGCTCTTCAATGGAGGACTTTTTTTTTCTTTGAATGGTTGAGCTAATTGGGCTCAAAATAACTTGGCAATATTAATTTTTATGTTGAAGACGTTTGGTAGGTGCCAGAAGTTTCTCTGTGACTTTTATGTAGATCTGGCTACTCAATGAAATGAAAATAATCGGGTTCTCTAAATGCAGTGCAAACGCTCATTCTTTCTTGTTCTATTTCTAATTGAATTAACCCTTGAGATCTCTGTTTATAAACGCATTATAAGCACACCAGTTAACTGAGGGCCCTTATGTTCTTTAGAAGAGAATAACTTTGCATTTTTTTTCCACACTCATTGTAGGCATTAAATTAAATATAGGTATCACTTTTAGGTTAGCAGTATTACTTCCTCTTGGTGGTCATCCTGAGGGCCCTGCTTTACCTAAACACACTGGACCATTTAATACAAACTGACTTGGATTTTAACAGCTGTGCTATTCCCAGAGCGATCACTTTTCATGTGGTCTGGGTATTAAGTTTCCTTTGTGCTGAAAAGGTTGCTTCATTTGGTGCACGTATTTCCTTACAGTAGAAACACAGCATTTACTTACTTGGCTAACTTCTTTATTCGCTTAGGAGAATGTCATTCTCTATTATCTGCAAACTCTACATGAATACTTTGAAATGACAAATCCAATTACATTTTCATCTCCGTGCATGTGAATTTTTCTTAATGCATACTCAGCATAATATTTTTTAGACTGAGTCATATCATAGTTGTTATTGTTTCAAAAAAATTCTTTGGGGCTAAAAATGACTTTTAAAAAATTCTCCTCTGACACCCATGAAGTAATTTTTTCCTTTGGTAGTTAACAGTTATTTTTGCTATTTATCCCTCTGACCAAGGCCATTGCTTGTGTCTTGGTTTAGTCACAAATACAGACAGAGGTTGTGGAGGTAGATAAGCTGGACTGAGTAATAATACTCTTGCAAATATGTGCAGGATAGTCCTTTCACAAGGCCTGGTGCGGGGAAGAAGATGGTTCTGTTGCTACAGCAGAAAGGCTGAATCACCTGCACACAAATCATTTCTTACCTTATTTAATTTTAGCTTGGTGTGGAGCCAAGTGAATTGTTCCATCTTATAGGAAAAAGTATTGAAGACTGGAGGGAGCCAGGTGGTGAGGAGTCACTTGCATCCCCATTTTAAAATGACTATCTGATACCAGAATTTCAGAATTACTCATTTGAAGATCTGTGAGTTGTTTTTGGGTCTGTAAAGGAATTTGTAGCCAACTAGAATTTTGTGGAGTCACTACTAGAGGGAAAAATAGTATTTGGAAGAATTTCTTGAACGGATTGAAATATTCTTTAAAGAATTTCTTAATAATGCATTGAGTTAGCCTTTTTGCCTTAACCTTTTTTTGAAAGTTCAGGTAATTTTTGGTAACTTTCTCTTTTGATATACTTAGAAATGTACAGAAAAGTTGTAAGAATAGTGCAGGGAGCTCCTGCATTTCCTTTACTTAGATTCAGTTTTTTACACTTTGTCCCATTTGTGTGCATGAGCATGCGTGTACATGTGTGTGTGCACATTGGGGTGGGGCGGGGAGAGAGAGATCCACCTACCTGTCTTTGCTCCACCCTTATCTTTTTCTCGAAATTTAAGGGTAAGTTGGAAACATCCTGGTCCTTCACAACTAAATACTTACCTAAACAACTCCCTTATCAAATCCAGGCAGTTGGACATTTGCACAGCACTGCTGTCTGATCCGCGGAGGGTATTTCGGTGCTGTCCACTTGTACCAGTGGTGTTCTCTGTCCTTTTTCCCAACCACAGTCCAGTTCAGGACCAAGCATTGCATTTCCCTGTCATGTCTCTTCAGCTTCCCTCAATCTAGAAATGTCTTTAACCTTTCTTTGTCTTAACCTCAACAGTTTGATATTTTGCCAGTTATTTTGTAGATTTTCCTCCATTTGGATTTGTCTAATGTTTCCTTATGATTAGACTCAGGTTGTGAATTTTTGGCAGGGACATTAAGAAGTGGTGAGGTAGCCTCATGTCAGGAGGCATATGATGTATTTTATCCCCTTTGGCGATGTTAATCTCTCTCTCCCCACCAGTGGGAAACCTGGCTTCTGTTACCCTGGAGGTATTTGCTCACTTACTGCAGGCCAGAATACACAGAAAGTGGTTTCTAAACTGGGGAAAGTAAGCCTCCCAACTAGAGTGTTAACTTGTGCTTTTTTTCTAGATAAAATTTGTATACCATGAAATTCATGAATCTTATAAAAACAATTACAAGTTTTGACAAACTTGTACACCCAAATAGCCCATATTTCCACCAAGACGTAGAACATTTCTATCATCCCAGAAAGTTCCCTTAGACCTGTTCTGTGTTGCCTGTTGTGTCCCTTCTTTTTCCCAATGAGGAGTAAAGCTGGGCACAGTAAAGCTGTGGTGGTTTATGTGACAGTAGCCTGTTGTTGGGACCCAGAAACTTCTCTCATGTCTGCAGTCAGGAGCAAGGTGTGCATGCAGGGAAGTCTTGATCTTATTGCATGATTCTGTCACCCACAACCTTTGTGGTGTTGCAGGAACAGGCTGTTAGGAAGAAGTCAGTCCCAGTCTTGGTTTTCATACCATCTGGGACCTGCCTATTGCACACATGTGGCAAGATGTGCCTGGAAACCTGATCTCGACACCTTAATTAGCAATTGGTAACCCTAATAATGTCCTTGTTCTGGTGTTTACTGTGCAGTGGCCTCCTCTGCTGACAGATTGTGATGAAACTTCCCAAGGTGACTTGTTAGTGTCTCTGCGTGTGCATCTGCTTGTGTGTCCTGAGGGGAAGCAGGGAGAGGGCCATGCAGGGAGAGGATATGTCAGCTGGTATCATCACATTGTAAACGATGCTTTCTTTTTGCCCTTGTCATGGCCACCAGCCTGTCCGTTTATCTTTTCATATTCTGTCCCTCTATCATATTTCAGTTATTTCAACTTTAAGAAAACCTCTGTCCTGGCAGATCTTTCAAGACTGTCCATCTGTTTCTATGCAGGTGTCTCTCTTTTCCTTCTTTACCATAATAAACTTGCTGTGTGCTGATGGGAAGGAAAAAAAGGCGTTCCAAAGCCACCTGTTTCCTAAGAGACCTGCAATTAGAGACTAGAAAGGAAAAGGAAAGGTTCAAGTCTTGCTGTTTGTCCATTCACAGGCATTGTTTGTGTGCCTGGAATGCAAAGATGGCTAAAGTAACCTCTGCCCAAAGGAGGGCTGTGTGGAGGCTGAGACAGACTCATAAACAAATAATGGCCTCCAAGGGCTATGACTGCTCCACGCTCAGGTCTCGCACTTGCAGCGGTGGCCGAGCACTGATTCACTGTGCAGAAGGAGTGGACCAGGGATGGCCTTGCCATGAGGAACTTCTGAGTGGAAATTAAAGGATGAGTAGGAATTTCTAGAAGTTTCTGCTCTCCTCAGTGGGAGAGCAGCCAGAGGAAGGCATTCTAGACAGTGCATTCGCCAGAGGCAAGAAAACATGGCCCCGTCGTGAAGCTGCTCAGCGCGCCAGTTGTGACAGAGCCTGGGACACCTAATTCCCTACAATTGGGCCTGTCTCTGAGCACCATTTCAGTTCCTGCTATTGTTTGAGTTGGAATCTACTGTACTTTGTCTAACACTTGAGGCTGCTGTTTTGAATTTTACAACTCCTTATAAAACATTCTCACCTAGCACCAAGCATAGGGGCTTTCCGAGCCTCGGGAATCCAGCAGCTGCAGCCGGGTGGCTGGAGGGCAGGAAGTCGGGGGTTTCCAGGGTCCTGGCTCTGGGTGCTGAGTGACCACGAGCAAGCTTCTCCCCCTTCTCTGCCTCCATTTCTTCTTTTTTGTT